GCTGGGCTGGCCCGCAGAGTACGTAGACCCCGCCAGGATACCCGACCCGGGGCCGAGGGGTCGCTGCTGGCTGGTGCTGCCGGGGAGAGCAGCTGGCAGCGCTAACTGATGGCTGAAGTAGGAAACTGGGCCTCCTCCAGCCCCAAACTTGAGCAGCTGAGAGAAGCAGGACCTCTCAATGACTGCTCTTGAGAGCTAGAAGTAAGAACCACTCTTACTTATTGCTGCTCTGCCTCCCCCCTTAAGTTTTTGTTTAGCACTCAGATCACATCTGAATTTTGACCATAAGCTCTTTAGTCGAGGTTCTGTAAATTGCCACATTTCAGTAAAGAACAGACTATGCTTTTTCTTGCCCCCATAATAAAAAAATGGACACAGCTGAGAAGCCAGAAGAGCCATCTCTTTTATCACAACCATAAGGTTCATCTTAGAGATGCTTTTAAAGAGGTGGAGAAGAGCAATGTGCCCCCCCTTCCCTTGTGGGTTTATACATCATTTGCAAAATAGTCTGTTTTGAAGTTACTGTACATGGATGTATCCTGATTCTGCAGTTAGAGACATGTTCAAAGCTGTGCTAACTTACATACTGATTACAATTGTTTTGGGCTGAGAAATTATATAGAGATTTTCCTCACTTGCTGCCCATTCACTTGTTTTGAGCCCTACACCCGGAAGCAGCAAATGTCATCAGCATCCTTTCTGTCATGGAGAACTGGGCTAGTCCTAGTAGTACCAGGAGTGGGCCTTTGTTCCAGACAGAATGAGTTGCTTTAGCAGCAAATATGAGATGTAAAGATATACATTAGAACAGGAAGAATATATAAGCACATCTAATTCTTCTGCCTTTCTGATGCCTGCTTGACATTCACTTTCTGCAGGAACCATCCAAGAATCTCTCAGCAAATGCTTAGAGCAATGGGAAAAAATACCAGCGTCTATGTCAGAAGTCCTGTGTTCATTTGAAAACCTGCAACTTGAACCACTCCATCAGTCAGTTATGAAACCCAGTTCACATTCAGGAGAGCCTGCTTGCAAAAGTGGTCACTTGCGGTGTGTATGTTATGGCATTGGGAACTTTTCTTCTTGTGTCATTTCTCGATACCAGCTAGCATTCTTACTTCTGTTACTGGAGAAGTTACAGGTAAGAACAACACCGTATGTTGGAATGGCTGCATATTTGTCTTTGTAACTTAATACCTTTTCTCTCTTGCAGATTCCTAAAAGTCGGTGCTATATTTTTGATCCTTTATTTTCCGAATTGGAAATTGGTGTTCTGAATGACCTCGGTATAACAGTTGTCCTGGAGAACGAGGTATGGTATATTAAAGCTATAAAATGTAAGTGACATGTTTTATCCAATGAACCAAAAAAATAAAAAAGGAGCACTCCAGAGTCCTTCCTGTAAGTGCCTTTGCTACACATTGCAGAGTTTTTGCCTTTCACTTAATTCTAGTCTGGTCAATGCAAAGTTTCTCCTGTAAACCCTATACTGGGATCATAAAAGGACTAAGTATCACTTTTTAGTTAGGTATCTAGTCTGCTGTAGCCCTTCTGTAAAATTGGTATGTTTCACAGGGTACCATGTTTTCCCTGGGAGATGGGTTGGAACATTCAGCAGCCAAGAAATCTGCTGGGCTTAAACAGTTTTTGGCACTTTGAGTGCCAGTGAACAGGCTTTAGTACTTACAAAGCCAGGGTAGCTGCAAGTAAATCTTAAGGGATGCTGTTTATCTGCAGGAGGGAAAACATCACATTCATGAATTCACCATCTTTTATATGATCCACTGTGGAAAAGCTTTGTATAACAACCTGCTCTGGAGTAACTGGTCTGTGGATGCGCTGTCCAAAATGATGATTATTGGGAATAGTTTTACAGGGATTGAGGAAAGGTAGGTACCCAAAAAAGATGTTCTTACATATAAGGCAGAATTTCATTCACTCTCACTATAGCAGTAATCCTATATGCTTACCTGCTTGTGATATCTTTACAAACACTGGAGGAGCTGTCTTTTCATACAGAACATAAAATCATCCATTTCAATGTCTGTTTTGCAAGATATTTTATCTGCCCTTGAGATGCAGCTGTTAATTGATTATCCTTACTATTACTTTATCTCAACCTTCCCTGACTGAAGTTGCTACTTGTCACGTTGGAAATGTTATGTGCAGGGCTCGACAAAGTATTGAATCTACTCGCCCAGGGTGAGTAGATTTCAGCCAGGCGCCCCCGTTCATTTGCGGCATGCGCAATGTGGGTCTTGCGCATGCGCAGTGCAGGGCTGGCGAGTAGCTTTTGCTGCCATTCATCAAGCCCTGGTTATGCGCTAAGAGCGCCAGCTAGAGAGCACGACCATGTTCTTGTAAACTGTCTGTGACAGGTCACTTGCTAAACACTCAGCTTCTGCTTTATTGGTGACTTCTTTTGTAACCTTATCCTTTTTCTCCATATTCCTGTAATGTCTGAGCCAGATCTCGGAATAACTGGTTCATTACAAATCAATATTAAATCTGTTCAGTATTCCTCATATACAGGCCCAATTGTTTTTCTAGTTTTCCAACAACAGGCTTAAGTAGTGAGGTAGATTCCATCTATTTAAATCAGTGGAGGGGCAACCTTGGCTAAAGAGTGAGCCACACGAGTAGCCCTCTTTCAGCTCAATAGTCCGTGACATTGTTTTAACCAAGATGGCCTCCCAGGATAGAGTAGTTTTGCTCACTGAGCTTATATACCTAGAATTTTGGGGGTTTGATGATTGCACCATAGCAGCACTTTGGATGCAGAGGGAGTGCACAGCTCTCACAATCATTGTTGGGTGCAATCAGCACCGATCTGGTAGGGAAAAAAACTATGCAGATGCAAACCAGCAGAATCTGACAAACTTGTGCACGGGGCAACAGTAAAAATGTCTCATTGGTCACACACAGAACACCAACGAGCCCCATGCAACTCTTGGGCTACAGATTGTTCACTACTGCTCTAAATCTAAACCTGATGCTAAGGTGGTCTTCATCTGTGCTTTTCTTGGAATCGGTATTTTATACATTCTGCACAACTTCAGCCTTTTGTGTTAACTAGATTCATTTTATCTTTTAATAAAACAACCATGTTTCCAAAATATAAATCAACAGTTAAGTTCAAGTGGTTCCAATACTAACATTTGTCGTTGTTTCTAGGTTATTGGCAAGAATATTAAAGCGAGATTATTTGTACATAGCAAAGGTACGGTTTATAATTTTAAAAATGTGAATATGTTGTAGTGCGGGGGTAGGCAATTTTGGGTGGGGGGGTCATGCCAAGATTTTGGAAAGTGATCAAGGGCTGCATTTTTTTCTGGAGGAGGTGCAGGGTCTAGGATGGAGACTGGGTACAGAAGGATGCAGAATAAGGACCTGGGGTGCAAAAGATGGTGCGAGGTCTGAGAGAGAGTTTGGTTGAAGGAGGGGGTTGTGACCTGGATCAGGGGATTAGGGTGTAGAGTCAGGGAGGGAGTATAGGAGCAGGAGAGGATTCTGGCCTGTGGGAGGGGTGTAGGAGAGGGTACAGTTGTGACCTGGGGTGGCGGAGGTGTCCAGAGGCTTTGGATGGTGGCTTGAGGGAGTGAGTTGGGGTGTAGGAATGGTTGGGGTGCCAGAGGCAGGCTTTAGCTTGGAGGCACTTACCTAAGCATCTCCCAGCCAGCAGTCATGCAGCACCCCCATGGCAGGCAGGGCTTCTTGCCTGCTGCAGCCCCAGACTGCTTGAAAATGCAGGCTCCTCCCTCCATGTGGCTTTCAACTAGGGATGTAAGATACTGGTCAGCTAGTCACTTCCCTCTCCTTGCTGCCTGTATATGAGAGAGGAGGAGCCAGTGCTGTGGGGAGCTGGCTAAAAGCCAGTTACCCCCAGCACCATCTCTGTGTTGGGCAGGGGAAGTAGAAGCACAGTGGAAATGGCACGAGCGGGGACTTAAGGGGGGATTTTTGAAATGTACAAGAGCCCTAATGGGGCTCTAGTACAATTCAAAGGAAGCCCCATGCTCCCTGCTGGGCTTCTGCTTTTGAACTTGGAGGTGTTCTTATAGACTAATCAAATAGTTGATGGAAATCCCATTGACTATTCGATTAAGTAATTAATCTAAATTAGCATCCCTGTTCTCAGCTCTGGGAGTGGAGAGAGGTGCTTCTCCCAACCCCCAGGCCAATCTCTCAGCTCCTAATGACTGGTGGTTTTGACTGTAGGAGCTGAGGATTGGGCTGGGGGCAGGGAGATCACACAAAGTCTCCCCTTCCCTCCAAAGCAGAGAGGCACATGGAGCAGCCCTTTGTTTAAACCAGGTAGGAGGGGGTTTGCGGACTGGATCTGGTGGTTTGGTGGGCTGGATTCGGCCCACAGAAGGTATCTTGCCTACCCCTGTTATAGTGGATAGTCATCTGCATCTCAGATACTGATGATAAATTAATGAGAACATTTACATAAGTGAGCATGGCATTTTAGTAATCTTTTGTTCTTGCATGCTAGAGCAATGGTTTTTAACTTGGGAATTCATAGACTATCTTAGACTTCTCAAGAGATTGTTAAATTTTTTAGGGGTCTTTAAAAGGGAACAAAAAGAGAAAACCCGTGTGCTAGAGGATAAAGAGGTTTCGCAGCTGCCTTGTTCAGCTGTTTTAATGCTGGATGACATTTGTGTGTAAGGTTTAAAGAGTGTTTCCACATTTTACCATGATTGTTTTAGATTATGGAAGCCATTGTATCTTGTGTAATGATGCTGTTCAATCACGTTTAGGTTTTAAAAGGGACAGAGGAATCTGCATTTCCAATTCATCCTCAGTATGTGGACATATTTAATGACACCTCCATCCACTGGTTTCCTTTACAAAAACTCAAGGAGCTCCCAACAGAAGCCTGGAAGTTTCAGGAAGAGCCAACGTACCAGGAATGTGATGACTTGGAGATTATCAGGAAATAGGACCAATGGAGTTTTTATTTTTTGATCAGACTGAAATGGAACCTTTAATTGCTTTCTGGATTTTGTGCCTGTTTTTAAGGGGATGTTAATCTCATAATTATCCATCTAAAGCCTAGACTGGCTTGAAGGCAGCAACCTGAATTTAATGTGACAAGTTTTTCCTCAGAGGTACTGATTTTTTTTTAAAGGTGAAAACTGTACTTCTATTTATTATTCACTAAATAAACTCATACTAACTCTTTATTTTGATGAACACCTGTGTCTTCTGCTACTAGATCAGGGTAGGGCAGTAATTTTTGATGGGGCCATGCTTAAGATTTTGGAAAGTGGTTGAGGGCTGCACTCTTCTATGATATTAAGGGAGGTGTGGGGTCTGGGATGGAGGCTGGGTGCAAAAGAGAGTTGAGGTAAGAAATTGGGGTGCAAGAGGGAGTGTGGGGTCTGGGAAGTAGTGTTGTGACTTAGGGTAAGGGACTGGGGTGCAGGGGTTTGGGCTGTGACCTAGGATGGAAGGAGGCTTTTATCTGGGGCAGGGGATTGGGGTGCAGCGTCTGGGAGGGGGGGTCAGGTGGTTTGGTTTATATGGGGTAGGCAGAAGTCATGGGGAAAGGATGGGATTGGGGTGCCAGAAGCAGGCTCTGTCCAGAAGACTTACCTAAGTGACACCCGGCCAGAAGGCCAGCACGTTTCTCAGGTAGGCAGCCTGCCAGCCCTGCCCCTGCACAGGCTCTAGGGGCCATGTGCACTGATGAATAAGATCCTGAGGGGAAGGGGTGATGGTACTTCCCATGCTTCCTGTTTTTCAAATAGGCAGCTCCCATTGGCCAGAAATCTGCCTATGGAATTGTACTGGGGGCGGGAGTAGCGTATGAAGCACCATTCCACCCTCTCCTGGGATCACAGCTGAAAGAAATGGTTGCAGCAGCTGTTTCTGAGCAGTACAGGGAAGGGACACATAGGGTAAGCAGGAGTCTCTCCGAGGTTCCCTGCTATGTCTGCAGGTCGGATCCAGGGCTTGACGGGCTGCAACCACCCCCAAGATAGACTTACCAATTCCTAAGAGACTGGGCCTGCTTTCTGTAACCTTCCCACAACCATGCTGGCCTTCAGTGAGCTTGAAGCTTAGAGGCCTATTTTGTATAAGTGACTTCAGGGGGTAGCCGAGAATTACTCTCAATTGTATCTGACCTACTACAGCAGGGGTAGGGATGTAGCCCCTAAGCCTCAGCCTCCACCCCATTCCCCCCAGCATTGGGGAGCTTGCACTGGTGCTCCAGCCTTCCCATCTCTCCACTAGGCTAGGTCCCCTAGGCTCTGGTGTGGGAGGGAAATGGGGGGAGTGTCTCAGACGAGGGCCACATTAGTGATGGTTTATTTTCCTTCTCACTATAGAACAGAGGTGCTTGTTCTCTAGAATTTGATAGATTAAGGGGTTCTCAACCACAGTTAAAAATATGGCATCCTGTAACATTACTGGGATGCTCTCACTGTTCTTGAAAGGCAGCTAGTGCATGCAATCTTGCATGATGAGCCTGGTCTGGAGTATCTCTAAATAGAGTCAGGCCTTATACAACTCATCACTATTAGAGAGATACCGAGCACGTTCTCCCAGGCAAATGTCTTCTAAGTTTGCTGAAGCATCATCCATTTGTTGAGGCCTGTGTTTGACAGTACCTATCATAAGTCTTTGCCTACAAAAGTCCAGACATGCTTGTAATTCCCAATGCAAAGACAAAAACAGAGAAAATACTGATTTATCTACATAGTAAATTAGAATTCAGGAAGTATAATTTCATCAATCAAGCAATATGCAGAAGCATTTCTCAAGGGTTTTATCGGGCAAAATTTCATGAGAAATTGAATTAGATGAGAAACATTTTTTGCATAGCTGATATGGTTGCTAAAATCTAGTTTAAAGGGTGACAACTGCTTTATCAATGTGTCTGAACAGCCCTGTTAAAATCCTCCAGGGGAGCTGAAAATCCATCAGATCTACAAAATCGAAATCACCTCTTTATTATTGTAACACAGTCACACACAACATCTGGTAGTATGGGAATCCTGACAATGCTTACTATGTACAATGGTCCTGGCATGGAACAGGATCCTATTTAGCCATATCAATGAGACTCTGAAGAGAGGTTGGCACCCATGTCTTTTCTCCTTGTACAAATACAACGCCCCTGTCAATGTAAATGACAATTCGTCCAAAAGTATACAACTGTTTTCCTTCATGCCGCTTCCCAATCACAGGCATGAACACAATATTGTGTTCTTCTGCTTTTGTTTGAATGAGGTCCTTAAAATTCATTGGCACAGAGCTAGCAGCCATGCCTATGCCCCGTTGGGCCATGTTCTCAGCCTCTCGCCGCTCCTGCATAGCTTCATACTGGAAGTCTTTCCTCCGTTCTGTGTGAGTGAGATAGGCAATGTTCTCCCGAGCACCTGGTTGCATGTAGCCACCTGTTTGGGAAAAATGTGAAACAGGTGAAGACAAAGTACCAACCCAGTTTTGAACATCATGCAATAATAAACCTAATAGCTTAATGTCCTGGGTGCAGCATACACTACTTTTGTGGGACAGTCAGTACATTTTATCATACATGTTTTACGTATTCAATGCTAAAGAGATTGCAGGATATTCAGGGGAAACATTCTCTGGATAAATTCTATTAAATGACTATAAAGGGCAGGATTTAAAACAATCCTCTGTCACTGAATCTCATGAGCATATACAGAACAGTTTGACAAGGACCTTGGAGGAAGTTACTGCAGAACCACTAGAAGTAGAGGCTAATCTGGGCAAACATGCCATGCTACATCCAAACCCGAGCTCCTGCAGTCAGACTAGCTGTCTCTTAGCAGGTTAGACAGAGTGACTTGTAAGAAGCCAGGTAGTTCAACAGTCTTAAAGAGCTCAACATAAGCAATCCCATCCACAGAGAGAGCAGCTTTATATCCTTTAGTGGCTGTTGGGAAAATCATACTATGATTTCTCAGAGTAGGTGTGTTCCCAGTATGCTATAAAGTATGCCTACAGCTGGGTATCTAGTTCATTGTTTTAATGTAGGAATATAACACTGCCTTCAAGACTTAGTGCATCACTTCGTGTACTGTGCCATAGACATACAGTCCTTTCAGATATACAATAAAACTGTAAAAGAAACAGGGAAAGAAGTTCACTCACTGCTAGAGCAGGACACACAAAATGGGGAAGTGGGTTTAAGAGAGTTTATTCCCTTCTACCTTTTGCATGTTTAGTTTTCTCCCCACAACTCTGTCAGCTGCTGGGAATCTGTACTACTTCCTGGCAGTGCTTCCTCCTGGACACCTCCACAGTGTTGTAAAGAAGCACCAACTTTCACCACAAAGGAAAGCTCACAAATTATAGCTATAAAATCCAGGTATCTGAACAATGTCTCCTCAAGAATGGCATCCTTAGCCTGTTTGTCAGAAGCTGGCAATGGGCAACAGTGGATGGATCAGTTCATTCCCTCTGAAGCACTTAGCATTGGCCTGTCAGAAGACAAGATACCTGACTAGGCAATATTGTTTGTTTGACTAAGCATGGATGTTCTTATGTTAATCACTGACCTACAAACACAGATAAGAAACATCTAACAGCTTAACATCTCTACCTGTTAAGTATGGAAACAGTAACCGTCTAAAGAATTTCAGTCAATTGCAAATTTCTGAACAGAAGTCTAGTGTTACACATTTCTGACAGCAGGCAAAATCATTTTTGCATGAGTGTTGGCAGAAATTTAGGAAATTCTGTTTACAAGGCTTATGACTGAATGGACACAAACACACAAGAATAAAGTACTGCTGTATTGGAAAGCAGTATGTAGGATAGAAAAGATGAAGCCTTCACAATAAGTTACTTACCAACACTGGAAGAAACAGCCCGGTTCATAATATCGAGAGCTTCATTAAATTTGTCCTTGATCGACGGATGTGCTAACACCTGGTCTGAGAACATAGACTTCCAACCAAGGTACCACTTGGTTATCTCTTCATAATTGGGGCTATTACTTAACCAGGAGCACAACACCTACAAAAAACGGAAATACAGACATCAACAAGGTAGCACAAACAAGGGTCAAAGCCTCCTCAAAATCAGTTAGTTTTGCTCTAAATTTGCATATACTAACAAGAAGGGGCTGTAAATCAGTGACTGCTAAAGCTGTTGAAGTCTCATTCAGAGACTCCATCTGATGCACAAGGAGCCATCACTAAGAAGTGTATGCGTTGAACATTCAAGCCTTTGCTCCCATGAATATACACTGAGGAGGAATTGGAATCCCGATTTTAACAAACAAAATATTTTACTGTCCAACAAAGTCAAATCCCTCACAGCCATTCACCACCACCTTATCATTGATTGGCTTGTTCTTTAAAGGAAACAGATCACTGGTTAGTCTTTTAGCTACACACCTGCAGCCATTTTGGGAAGAAGTGTTTCTCCAGAAGTCCAACTAGGCTAGACACAGAGATCATTCCCTCCCAGTCGATCACCCAGTAAAATGCATCCATATGCTGCTGGTGAGGGTTAATGATGAGCTCATTAAGACACATCCCTGGAAAGAGAAGAGAGAAGTCAAAATAGGAATTGCTCTGCTGGCAGAGTGGGTGCTTTAAACTGCAGGGAGTTCAACAACCTATTCAGAAAGTAGTTTAAATGGTCAAATAGGACTTCAATCAAAAAAGCTATCCAACAGGGTTCAAACTCTTTCCATTGTTAGTATAAAGTGAATAGTTACAGAAACCACCCTTGACTCCAAAAAAGCAAGTATGCTAAATCTCTACTGAGTGCTTCTCTCTGCTAGAAGCATATATCTTAAAAGCACACTGAGTTTTACTTTAGGCTAGAGAGATTTTAAACCAGTTTGGATGGCATCAGAACAGGTCAGAATTCTCAGGAATAGTACTCAAACTGTGGATCAGTGCCCAAAAGTGGGTCATGAGCCTGTTTTAGTGGTGACAGGGTTAGAGCAAAAGGCTATGAAAAAGTAGTCGAAGGGAGATTTATAAGCCTCAGAATGAGGAGATCCCTGCCCCCAGACTAACAGGGAGGGGCTGGTTTAGAATAGCAGTCAATGGGGCAGTGAACACCTGGGGCAAATTGACCAGGCCTGCAGAGTCAGGCCAGCCTTGGCCAATTAGGACACCTAAAGGGTACTTAAGAAAACCAGTTCAGACTGGCTATAAAAGAAGCTGCCCAACAGCTGTAGAAGGCATGC